CATAGTAGTTTCATGTAAGAAATGTCACACATAATTGGTGTTGGCCTTCTGCCAACTGAACTATACGTGAAAGCTGAAGGTTCCCACGCAAGTTCTAACACATAAAATTGAGTACATTTTCACAAATGCAGAACCATGCATGAGATTCTCATGTGGTTTGTCACATACACATATCTAGAACATATTAAAGGCAATTTCACATGTGATTTAGTAGGTCACTTGCAAGAAATTGCACCAACAGGTAGAAATACTATTCCAATGATCTATCAACCACCAAAACTATATATGTGATTCTTTTCACATTTGAAGAAGAACTTTTAATTCTTGAGCATACCTATCTTTATCTGAATATTCAAAAATCTTTCAAATTGTACTTTAACATCTTGCACTCATTCATTATTCTTGAAAATAATTGTAAAAAAGCTCTCATAAGTTTATAACCTTTCAACTGTAATTTCAGCTACTCTTTAGGAGATTTTTCTTTGAAAGTTTATCTTCTTTACTGAAAATCTTGAAAAGGTATTTTTCAAGTGTTTGTAATAACTTGCTAGATTGTGGCAAGGTTTGTTGATTGATTCAAGACAAGTCTTGTGAGTTGTACTATGATAGCAAACACCTATTAAAGCTTGTGAATTTAGTTTAAAATTTCAAGTGTGATCTTGAAGACTGGACATAGGCCAAGTTTGGGGCTGAACCAATATAAATCTTGTGTGTCTCATCTTCTTCCTTCATACTAAAGTGTTTTACTCTTTTAAGTTTTTAAAAGTTTTTAAGTGTTACCCAATTCACCCCTCTTGGGTGCCAGCCTATCCTACACTTTTCAAAAAAGGCTAATGAAAACAACAAAAAGCTACCCTTACCTTAAGAGATAAGAGAGGGACATCATATGAGAAAAGAAGGAGATTGTGACTTCTTTAAGCTTGGTGAAGACAAATGGATGTTAGAAGTTTGAAGTGCTAACATGCTATTCAAGTAGGAAAGCTATTCATGTGGATACAAATGAAAAGATCCTTAAGTTTGCAAGCGTAAAGATAAAGTTTTATCTACTCTAACTTAAACGATGTCATCCAACCTACGAATGGAATTGAAAATTTTAAAATTTTAATTCTTTTGCTGTGCTCCCAATCCTAATACTTTTATCTAATCAAATTAAGAAAAGTATATTTTAATATATTAATAATACTAAGAAGATTTTTTATATAATAAATAATGGGTTAATGTATAAATCTACCCTCAAAGTTTTCACATAAGTACAACTTGTAACATCCTAAGTTTTTCAATTAGTAATTATTAGTATTTCTAAGGGTAATTTAATCAATTTAGATAAATTATTGATTGATAAAGTTTATAGAAGACTAATATAGTTTTTAGATCCGTGCACAACCTTAGAAGAGGGCTAGGTTGATGTTTGAGCGAGCCAAAAAGTTTAAATTTTGGTGTGACTTTCTATGCCATGTGCTGCGGTGGGCGTGTCAATGCACTATGGCACACGTGCAAAATATGCACTTGTTAAATCGCAAATCAGACTGAAAATTAAAAGTGTGAAAAGGGTGAACTCAAGAGTAGTAACAAATAGAGACTTGTGGTTGGTAGGGCTTGCTTCCAATATGATTTTTGAGGCTTTACAAGCTCCATATATATTGGGCAAGCTTTCCTTTCTTCTCCTTCTCCTTCATTATGTAAAATATAGACATTTGGTGCAATGAGGGCTTTAATTTCAATTCTCTTGGGTTTAAACCAAACCCATTGGTCTATTTAAAGTCTTGGGGAGTTAAATCAAGCTTCTAATCCTAAGTTTATGTGTTTTATGATGATTGGAATTTTTTGTTAAGGGTTTGAACGAACCCTGAGTATAATTTGATGATTTTGAGATAATATGGGATATTGGTTAGTGATTTTAGTGCACTAGGATATTTAATAGAATAGTTAGAGAGTTTAAGAATAGTTGATGTTGTTAGAAAAGGAATTTGCATATTTTAGATACTTAGAACCTAGTGAATTCGGATTATCTGGAATGATAATTGATGAATGTCACTTGATTGTGTAAACTGAGTGTTGCTTAAGCTATATCATGCGTATAGAATGTGTGGAGCTAATATTGAGCCACGGTAACCTTTTTGTGTGACAAAAGGTTGAGGTAACTATATAGTTTATTGTGTTTATTAACTATTATAACTGTGTAAAAGTAAATACAAAATGATGAATTTGTGGTTTAAGAATTTTGTGCATAATTTGATATTTAAAAATGATTTTAGCATGAACATTGGTTTGTGAAATGGATTTTTAAAAAGTCATTAATTCTAATAGATATTGTGTATATATATGATATGAAACTAAATGTTGTGGAAATGTGGATAAGCAGTGATAAGTGTGAAAAAGCATTATCAAAGGGGTAGGAGTTCATCTGAGATATGTAAAGATGTATATGTATGGAGATATATGAGTGAAAAATTTATATGATCGGGCTAGCACCATGGGACATCTAGTGCGGTATGATATGGGGACTGTTACTATGGGATATTCAGGCAATCTGGCAACTCTCTAGTATCCATTAGGGTGTAGTTAGGAGTCAACGATGCCTCTATCATAAGTGCATAAAGAGGGAAAAACCATAGTTGTAGGTGGTTAGATTACCTTTAGCCAGGTGTTTCTACCACTAAAAGTATGCTCGAGTCAATAAGTGGTTGATCCAGGAGAGCCTATGGTTTCATGTTAGGGAGCATTGGAGGTTCAATGATTAGATGATCATTCTCATGTGTAATTATGTGGAAATGTTGTGAAAAGATGAATTTATCTCATAATTTGATATACATGATATTACCTTAGTTTTAATACTTTATTATGGTTATTTGGGGCAATAAGCATTTGATGAACTATATTAGTTACCGAGATATTTATCTCATCACGTGGTTATATTTTTTAGGTAAGGGCTTTGTAAGGGCAAGGGAAAGGAAGGGGCAATTGAAAAGTGAAGAGCATTGTAGTATAGTTCTTTCTCTTTCTCTTTTGTGTTTGTAATGAATATTGCCATTATATAGTGCCAACTTAAAAACATGACATTATTTTGGTTATCCCTTATATGAATTTGTGATAAGTGTGCATATTTTGGTATAAGGTTGATGTTGTGGATTAAGTATGTGTGAGTGTTTGGCCAAGTTACATTTACAAGTGATAAATTCGAAGTGAATTATATGTCAAAATGACCAAGTTCATATGTGTACTAAATTTAATTCACCCTTTTGTGTTATTGTTAGATGGGAGTTTGGTGGTCATTTTGAGTGTGATTGCTTATTTGTGTGTTATGAATGAATTTTTATGTTGTGTGTGGTCCATTTAAGGTGGTTAAAATATCTCTGGAGCTAATGACATTTAATATTGTGAGTTGAACACCTTTTTGTGTATTTTGAAGTTGAAACGAATCATTTTGGGTTCGTGTGTCTATCTTTGTAATGGATGATCATTTGAGTATGAGAGCAATGCCATTAGCTAGAGGACTCAAAGTGCTTCGTGTGAACACTTAAACTGCCTAAATGGGACATTGGATGGTAAAACAACGTGCTTTGAAAATTCAAAGAGCTGTCATGACAGCAATTTGCTATCATGACAGTAGGTGCGTGCTGTGGTGCATGGTAGTTGCATTGTGGCACAAATGGCCTTCAAGGGACTCATCCCTCTGTGCCATCCACCGTGGTGAGCACAGCTTGCACCACGGTGGACGAGACAAATTTTTAAAAGAATAGCTTGTTTTAGCCTATTTTGAAGGCTATTTGATTTTCATGCTTCCATATTTGTATTTATTGATTTTTAGTTATGGTTTGAGCTCAAAGAATATTTTAAAAAGGATTTTTTTGGGATCCCATTATTTCAACTTATTATCTTTTAAACCCTTAGGTTGTGATAACTCTTTTTGAAAATTTAACCATTCCTAGTTATAACAATAGAATGTAAGAGTGTTGTCCTGGTAATATCAAGGCGGACATTACATGTAACACTAGCCCCGAGTGTTATCCAAAAATCACACAATTCAAATAAACTAAGTGTGGTTAAGGAGTTAATCCTAAAACCAACTTAGGAAACAAACCATTTAAATCACTAAGCAAATATACGATTGCAAAGTAAACATTTAAAACCTTAAAAAAAATTATAGGTTCTAACTATAGCGCACGGAAGCAAGTTAGACGAAAGAGAAATAAAAAGATACTGTCATGACAGCATTTAAATTGCTGTCATGACAACCCTCCTGAGTCAACTTCTGGGAGGCGTCGTTCCGCCATCCGACCTCCGATCGAAGTGATTTTAAAGCTCACACGTCACATTCAAAGGGTACTATAAGTATACCAAATTTCAAAAAGATCCAACGATCGGATTTAAAATTAGACATGTTAAAAATTTGATTATTTTTGCTGTCATGACAGCTAAAAAGCTGTCATGACAGCACTTCCGGAGTGCACCATTTCATCATCTGACCTCCGATCAGAGTGATTCCAAAGCCCACATGTCACTTTTAAAGAATACTATTAGCATACTAAATTTTGAAAAGATCCAACGGACGGATTAAATTTTGTGCAGGTTATAAAATCAATACTGTAGCTGTCATGACAGCAATTTAATGCTGTCATGACAGCACCTCCAGACCAAATTCCGGAGTACGTCGTTTCTCGTCCGATATCCGATCGACGTGATTCCAAAGCCCACATGAAGCTTATAAAAGGTTTTACTTGTGACCCAAATTTTAGAGAAATCCAACGGTCGGATTAAGATTTGGACACCCGGATGCAAAAGTGCAGCTTTTTGGTAAAAACCATTTTCAAAATTGTCCAAATCCCATCCTAATGGTCACAAACCTGTGGAAACACTTTGGACACGTCAAATAAGATTAAAAACACCTGATAGAACATTCAAATGATGGAAAACCCCCATACATCAAAATTTGACCACCCGGGTGCCATTTCCCAAAATGGACCCTAAACCCCCAAAATGCACAAATCATACAAGAGTGGTCACAAATCAATCCAAATACCATGTATTTATATAAATACATATGCTAAACATTTTCACTTGGCTCAGAGCTCCTTGTGGGGCCCACGCACCCACTCTCTCTATCCAAGGTGTATGTTTGCCCATAGCACACCATTTGCAATGCAACCACTTTGCATTTGCTTATAAAATCACATATATATCAAAACAAAGATCTGCTTGTAATAGAAACTTGGTCTACTAAGTAAATCCATCAAAACCACATACCATAACCAAGTTTCCTAGCCACAAGTCTGCAAACAGACAAAAATTTATACACAAGCACACAATCCACACATATTCACACACACATACATAATCATATCCTACTGGCACCCTAATCTTAAATACATTACAATATATTTGCTCAAAAGAAAGGGGTTGCAGTTCTTTACAAATCACAAGCAAACCCCTAGCTTTGCTCCTTTCCCCGTCCACCACTGGATCCTTCGCCTGGACCTAGAATATTGAAAAGAAAGGGGTGAGACAACCACAGTCTCAGTAACAGCAAATTTACATTGATTATTACAAAGTAAGCCATAATCAAATAAACGAATAATAAATTCAACATAGTATATAATTTAGCCATTTAAAATGCATGAATGCATGACCTAGGCCGGTATGGCCTTTCATGACCAACAGAATGCCCCCTGGCACTCTTTAACTCGCAGGTAAACCTTATACCTACTTGTACCTCCACAGGCACAAAACATAATCTAAGGCATGATCTAATCCACCGAACCGCCTATGCCCCTTCGACGTGAATCCTGAGCAGTCAAAGCTAACTCCCTCCCAGAGCCAGCCCGACTTACTCTCCATGTGAGGGCTACCTTGGCCTAGGCACTCAACCTCACACTTCATATGTCGGATTCCCTCCCCCACTGAGAGGTGTCGAACACTCAATACACTAACCACTTTAGTGCACTGAGCCCACAATACGTAAGACAACACTGAGTACTGACAGTGTGCCATAGAATATCAAAAATCCACACCTTCTCATTGGTGAACTCCCACCGAGATCATGCCTTTTACTCTTGTCTACCTTTCCTGAGTATTGACCATTCAACACTCTAAAGTAGTATAATATTTATAAATCTCATTTCCATAAAAACATTGTTATTAAACAATTAGAAAACATATTTGCACTATAATCAAAGTAGTACCCCATAACCCCTTATAAAGCACATTTAATCTTTTAAAACATGTAATGCATGATAACTAGTAATATTTATTCAAAAATAGCTAAAACAAAGTAATAAGAAATATAAATTCCCCTGTTACCTCAACCCTTTGGTACCAAAAGGGTTCCCTTTGTACAAAATAGGGCTCGGCTTGTTCCTTACTTCTCAATAAGTTCCACCAACAATTTTCTACAACATATAAGTGATCCACATCACTTATCATGACAAATAGCATTAATGAAGACTATAACTCATACCACACAACTTGGTCTATGAGTCATAATCCACCCTAATGGTCCATATATTAAACCAACCATTCACATAGTATCACTTAACCACCAAAACCATTTATTAGCCATCACTAGGCTAATTTTCAATTTATATAATTTTTTATCAATTAAAAACCTTCACTTAGTGTCACCAACTTTCACCATTAGCCCTTATAATGAAAACCAAACCTTAATTTAAATCTTATTGGGCTCAAATAGCAAAATTATAACTAAATCAATAAGCTTAAACCATTGAAGAGCAAAAACCCAATTTCTCAAGGTTTATTTTGTGCCCAAAACACCTCTTTTCATCCAATTATCCACTCAAAATATTAGATCACTATATAGAAACTCAAAACATGCTCCCTAGGATCCAAAGAAACAAAAGCTTACAAGAATAAAGCCTTTGGGATCAAAATCCAAAAATTTCCTCTTCCAAAAATTGAAGAAAATCAAGAGAAAGAGAAGAGGATTGAAGTAGGGAGTTTACCTATCGTGTAGCCGAGCTCGCAACGGTCGCAAAGACTCCTAGATCCAAGCCTAACTCCCTCCCTTTCTCTTCTCTTCTTCCTCTCTCTCTCTCTCCCGTTTGTGCGTTTCTTTCCTTTTCATTTTCTCTGCGTTTCTGCATCAGTTTTGGCCTTTAAATTGCTGGTCAAAAAGTTTGGGGAAAATTACAAGAAAGGGCCCAACATTTTTTTATTATTGCACAAAAGCCCGGGTCAACTTTGGTAATTTTTTCCATAGTTAAAAATCAAATAAAACCAAACTTTTGCTTAGTAAAATTCAAACTCTGGGCCTCTATTAAATTATTCTAAATTTTAATTTAATTATAGATATTTTATTTTATTTTTATTTTTTAATAAATTTGAGTCTTAAAATTTTTAGGATGTTACATTCTCCCCTCCTTTAAAAAGGATTTTGTCCCCAAAATCCAAGCTAATACATGAACCAAAGAGATAAACATACCTAGGGAAACAACTGTGGATATTCCTTCCTCATTTGATCCTCAGTCTCCCAAATTGCATCTCCCGGAGCTGTCCCTTTCCAAATCACTTTTACCAACCGGATTGTCTTATTTCTGAGTTGCTTATCCTTAGCATCCACAATACGATCTGGTTCAGTCCGGTAGGTTAAATTCTCTTGAATTTCAACCTCCTCAGGTTCTATCACATGCGACGGGTCTGGCTGGTACTTCTTCAATTGTGACACATGAAACACGTTGTGTAGACCCGCTAACTGAGGCGGCAATGCCAACTGATAAGCCACCGGCCCAACTTTCTTCAAAACCTCAAAAGGACCCATATATCGAGGAGATAACTTTTTAGCCCGAATTGAGCGTCCAACGCCCGTCAATGGGGAAACTTTGAGAAAGACATGATCCCCAACCTCAAAAGACAAGTCCTTACGACGATTATCTGCATAACTTTTCTGTCTACTCTGTGCTGTAAGAAGTTTTTGTTGGATCAATTTGATTTTTTCTGTGGTCTCATCTACCACATCCGGTCCCATCATTGTCCTCTCACTCAACTCATACCAACAAAGAGGCGATCTGCATCGTCTTCCATACAATGCTTCATAAGGAGCCATTTGAATACTGGCATGATAACTGTTATTATAAGCAAACTCTGCCAGAGGTAAATGCTTATCCCAGCTTCCCTGAAGCTCTAGGGCACATGACCTCAACATATCCTCTAATGTCTGGATCGTCCGCTCAGTTTGTCCATCCGTTTGTGGATGATAAGACGTACTGAATTTCAGATCTGTACCCATAGCCCTTTGCATAGCTTGCCATAAATTCGATGTAAACCGAGGATCACGGTCTGAAACAATATCCCTCGGTACCCCATGTAGTCGCACAATCTCCTTAATGTAGATCTCAGCATACCTATCAACCGTATAGGTGGTCTTGACCGGTAAGAAATGTGCTGACTTAGTCAAACGATCTACAATTACCCAGATAGAGTCAAAACTAGCCTGGGTCCTCGGCAAACCAGATACAAAATCCATTGAAATACTCTCCCATTTCCATTTAGGAATCTCCAAAGGCTGTAATAACCCCGATGGCTTTTGGTGCTCTATTTTGACCTTCTGACAGGTCAAACACTTACTAACATACTCTGTGACATCCTTTTTCATGCCTGGCCACCACCAATGACGCTGCATGTCATGATACATCTTAGTAGCACCGGGATGAAGGGTGTAGCTACTTCGATGTGCCTCATCCAACAATTTCTTCCGAATAGACTCATTGTTAGGAATACACACCCTATCCTTGAAAACCACATACCCATCATCACTAAACCAATAGTCCATTATCTCACCATTCTCGATGTCTTGACTTATTTTTGACAAAATCGGATCTTGAAGCTGAGCATCTCGTATCTCTTTCCAAAATTCATTAGAAATAACCATAGTATTAAGACCATTCAAAGAGAACTTAGTCATACCCAAAAAAATTTCAACCAAAGATTCCATCAATCTATGCTCCCGAACCATTAAATAGGCTACATGTAAGGTCTTGCGACTAAGAGCATCTGCTACCACATTTGCTTTCCCCGGATGATACTTAAATTCAAAATTATAATCTTTAAGAAACTCCATCCAACGTCTCTGTCTCATATTCAGCTCTTTTTGATCCACCAGGTACTTGAGACTTTTATGGTCGCTCATGACCCTGAACTCTGTTCCATAAAGATAATGACGCCAGATCTTTAACGCAAAGACCACCGCAGCCAACTCGAGATCATGTGTTGGATAATTCTCCTCATGCGGTCTAAGTTGTCTAGATGCATATGCCACTGCTCTCTCATCTTGCATTAGAACACAACCAAGACCCTTATGAGAGGCATCAGTATACACATCATAGGGCTTTTGAGGATCCGAAATCACCAACACTGGAGCTGTTGTTAACCTTTCTTTCAACTCAAGAAAAGCTGTCTCGCACTTATCATCCCAGATAAATGGCCTATCCTTCCTTGTGAGTCTAGTCAAAGGCATAGAAATCTGAGAGAAACCTTTGATAAAACGCCGGTAGTAACCTGCTAATCCCAGAAAACTACGGATCTCAGTTATCGATTTTGGTCTCTCCCATTGCATGACTGCTTCAACTTTATATGGATCAACTGCAATACCATTTGCCGACACGATATGTCCCAAGAACCTAACCTCTCTCATCCAAAACTCGCACTTACTGAGCTTGGCATATAGCTTATGATCTCGCAGAAACCTTAGGACAGTCCTCAAGTGTCTGGCATGCTGCTCCTCATCTTTAGAGTAGATCAGTATATCGTCAATAAAAACTACCACAAACTGATCCAAGAAAGGTCGAAAAATGCGGTTCATATAGTCCATGAAAACCGCAGGCGCATTAGTCAGCCCGAATGGCATAACCAAAAACTCATAATGACCATATCGAGTCCTGAAAGCAGTCTTTGCCACATCCTTCTCACTAACTCTTAGCTGATGGTACCCTGAACGTAAATTTTAGAGAAAATCGTGGCACCAACCAACTGATCTAAGAGATCATCGATGCGAGGCAGTGGGTACTTGTTCTTCACCGTAACCTTATTCAACTGCCTGTAATCGATACACAATCTTAAACTACCATCCTTCTTCTTCACAAATAAGACAGGAGATCCCCAAGGAGAAACACTAGGTCTAATAAATCCCTTATCTAACAGCTCCTCAAGTTGCTTCTTCAACTCAGCTAACTCTGAAGGAGCCATTCTATAGGGAGCCTTTGAAATTGGTTGAGTCCCCGATACCAGGTCAATCGAGAATTCAACCTCACGTTCTGGAGGTAATCCTGATACATCCTCAGAAAACACCTCTGGGAACTCCCTAACAACCTCAATTTCATCCACTATACCTGTCTCAGACCCTTGGGTAGCGAGCACTACCACGTAAGCCTCACAACCCTGCTCAATCAACCTTTCAACTTGCAAAGAAGAAAGAAAACAAGAATGACCAGGGTATTCCTTGATCACCTCCGGTACTTCTACCAAAGTCACTGTCTTAGCCACACAATCTAAGACAGCACCATAAGCTGTCAACCAATCCATACCAATAATTAAATCAATTCCTTGCATAGGTAATTTGATCATATTTACCCAAGTCGATTGCCCATTAAAAGTCATCTTAGTCCTACATACCACACTGGATCGACCAACCAAACCAGAAGTAGAGGAAACTTCTATATCATGGGGCAACTGGTCAACAGGCATAGCCATTCTATCTAAGCGCTCGGCAGAAATAAAAGAATGCGTCGCACCACAATCAAACAAAGCTTCTAAATCGAGGCCACAGATAGAAACCATACCAGTGATTAGATTCGATGACTTCCTAGCCTCCTCCTGAGATACTGTATACACTCTACCAGGAATCACGTTCCTCCGGTCCGAGCTCTCATGTAAATCAGGGCAGTCACGGATCAAATGGCCTAACTTTCCACACTTGTAGCAAGCAAAACAGCGACCAAAATGAACCCTACCACATCTATTGCAAGGTGACCTCGCTGTGCTTAGAATTGGGGCTTGACTGGTCTGTGAAGAACGTGCTGGAGCATTCCCAGAGAAACGAGAACCCCCAGATCTCATATTACCACCCCGATTACCTTGAAATCTTGAACCCCTATTTAAATTTTGATTACCAGAAGCAGAAGAAGACCCGATTCTAAAGGAGCCACTAGAAGAAGAACCAGAGCTAAAACCCATTCTCTTGGATACACCACCAGTAGGAGCCAACCCAAAAGAAAATCGACCTCGTGTATCCCTACTCCGGCTACTCTCTGTGTCTCGGCCTCGGCGAGCGGCAATCCTCAGACGATTGCACATCTCATCATATGTCGCCTCGCCCAACAAAGATAGCTGCTGGCGGTATTCTGGCCTCATCTTTTCTAATAACCTCTTTGCTTTCCACTTGCTATCATTAGAAGCCTTCAGATATGTTGAGAACTTAGACAGCTGATTGAATTTTCTTATAAAAGTCTCCTCGTCTAAGTCCCCCTGCTGAAATGCATGAAACTCTGCCTCTTTCTCATCTCTGAAAGCTGGCGGAAAGTGAAAATCATAAAATCTTTCTTTAAATTCAGCCCAAGACATAGATCTTCCATCTGTGGGCTTAACAGAATCCCACCAATGCTTGGCTTCACCAACAAGCTGCATCGTAGCCAAGATAACCCTCTGCTCAGATGTACACCTCACAACAGTAAATAACTGCTCCATCCGATCCAACCACTCCTCAGCTTTCCCATCAAGCATACTACCATCATATGTGGTCGGATTAGAACGAGAGAATTCCTTCCAAGGTTCAGATATGTCATCCTCTCGATTATTAACAACTGGTGCATGAGCTCCCATAGTACTAGAAGATTCCTGCCCAGCACTTAGGTCAACATGCTGATCTGGAACAGTATGACTTCTAAGATTTTGCTGTATATCCACCATAACTTCAAGTAGCCTAGCCATGACTGCATCTGTCCCCTGTGGTGGTGGTGGAGGTGGAGGTGGAGGCGGAGGCGGAGGAGGTAGAGGTGGTGGTCGTTCCTCATTCCTCGATCTACCCCTTCCCCTTCGAGCCATATTAGAACTGAAAGGTGTACGGCCACAAGCGTACGGACCTTTCTCCCCTCCTAAAGGAACAAACCAGAGAAAGAAAAACAATATTAGTCCAGGTTAGTGGTAGAAGGGAAAGAGCAAAAAAAGTAATGTATTTAAGGTGCCAAGTAGGAAAAAGGAATCATAAACCTAAAACTGATACCAAATGTAACACTTGCCCCGAGTGTTATCCAAAAATCACACAATTCAAATAAACTAAGTGTGGTTAAGGAGTTAATCCTAAAACCAACTTAGGAAACAAACCATTTAAATCACTAAGCAAATATACGATTGCAAAGTAAACATTTAAAACCTTAAAAAAAATTATAGGTTCTAACTATAGCGCACGGAAGCAAGTTAGACGAAAGAGAAATAAAAAGATACTGTCATGACAGCATTTAAATTGCTGTCATGACAACCCTCCTGAGTCAACTTCTGGGAGGCGTCGTTCGCCATCCGACCTCCGATTGAAGTGATTTTAAAGCTCACACGTCACATTCAAAGGGTACTATAAGTATACCAAATTTCAAAAAGATCCAACGATCGGATTTAAAATTAGACATGTTAAAAATTTGATTATTTTTGCTGTCATGACAGCTAAAAAGCTGTCATGACAGCACTTCCGGACCAACTTCCGGAGTGCACCATTTCATCATCTGACCTCCGATCAGTGATTCCAAAGCCCACATGTCACTTTTAAAGAATACTATTAGCATACTAAATTTTGAAAAGATCCAACGGACGGATTAAATTTTGTGCAGGTTATAAAATCAATACTGTAGCTGTCATGACAGCAATTTAATGCTGTCATGACAGCACCTCCAGACCAAATTCCGGAGTACGTCGTTTCTCCGTCCGATATCCGATCGACGTGATTCCAAAGCCCACACGAAGCTTATAAAAGGTTTTACTTGTGACCCAAATTTTAGAGAAATCCAACGGTCGGATTAAGATTTGGACACCCGGATGCAAAAGTGCAGCTTTTTGGTAAAAACCATTTTCAAAATTGTCCAAATCCCATCCTAATGGTCACAAACCTGTGGAAACACTTTGGACACGTCAAATAAGATTAAAAACACCTGATAGAACATTCAAATGATGGAAAACCCCCATACATCAAAATTTGACCACCCGGGTGCCATTTCCCAAAATGGACCCTAAACCCCCAAAATGCACAAATCATACAAGAGTGGTCACAAATCAATCCAAATACCATGTATTTATATAAATACATATGCTAAACATTTTCACTTGGCTCAGAGCTCCTTGTGGGGCCCACGCACCCACTCTCTCTATCCAAGTGTATGTTTGCCCATAGCACACCATTTGCAATGCAACCACTTTGCATTTGCTTATAAAATCACATATATATCAAAACAAAGATCTGCTTGTAATAGAAACTTGGTCTACTAAGTAAATCCATCAAAACCACATACCATAACCAAGTTTCCTAGCCACAAGTCTGCAAACAGACAAAAATTTATACACAAGCACACAATCCACACATATTCACACACACACACATAATCATATCCTACTGGCACCCTAATCTTAAATACATTACAATATATTTGCTCAAAAGAAAGGGGTTGCAGTTCTTTACAAATCACAAGCAAACCCCTAGCTTTGCTCCTTTCCCCGTCCACCACTGGATCCTTCGCCTGGACCTAGAATATTGAAAAGAAAGGGGTGAGACAACCACAGTCTCAGTAACAGCGAAATTTACATTGATTATTACAAAGTAAGCCATAATCAAATAAATGAATAATAAATTCAACATAGTATATAATTTAGCCATTTAAAATGCATGAATGCATGACCTAGGCCGGTATGGCCTTTCATGACCAACAGAATGCCCCCTGGCACTCTTTAACTCGCAGGTAAACCTTATACCTACTTGTACCTCCACAGGCACAAAACATAATCTAAGGCATGATCTAATCCACCGAACCGCCTATGCCCCTTCGACGTGAATCCTGAGCAGTCAAAGCTAACTCCCTCCCAGAGCCAGCCCGACTTACTCTCCATGTGAGGGCTACCTTGGCCTAGACACTCAACCTCACACTTCATATGTCGGATTCCCTCCCCCACTGAGAGGTGTCGAACACTCAATACACTAACCACTTTAGTGCACTGAGCCCACAATACGTAAGACAACACTGAGTACTGACAGTGTGCCATAGAATATCAAAAATCCACACCTTCTCATTGGTGAACTCCCACCGAGATCATGCCTTTTACTCTTGTCTACCTTTCCTGAGTATTGACCATTCAACACTCTAAAGTAGTATAATATTTATAAATCTCATTTCCATAAAAACATTGTTATTAAACAATTAGAAAACATATTTGCACTATAATCAAAGTAGTACCCCATAACCCCTTATAAAGCACATTTAATCTTTTAAAACATGTAATGCATGATAACTAGTAATATTTATTCAAAAATAGCTAAAACAAAGTAATAAGAAATATAAATTCCCCTGTTACCTCAACCCTTTGGTACCAAAAGGGTTCCCTTTGTACAAAATAGGGCTCGGCTTGTTCCTTACTTCTCAATAAGTTCCACCAACAATTTTCTACAACATATAAGTGATCCACATCACTTATCATGACAAATAGCATTAATGAAGACTATAACTCATACCACACAACTTGGCTCTATGAGTCATAATCCACCCTAATGGTCCATATATTAAACCAACCATTCACATAGTATCACTTAACCACCAAAACCATTTATTAGCCATCACTAGGCTAATTTTCAATTTATATAATTTTTTATCAATTAAAAACCTTCACTTAGTGTCACCAACTTTCACCATTAGCCCTTATAATGAAAACCAAACCTTAATTTAAATCTTATTGGGCTCAAATAGCAAAATTATAACTAAATCAATAAGCTTAAACCATTGAAGAGCAAAAACCCAATTTCTCAAGGTTTATTTTGTGCCCAAAACACCTCTTTTCATCCAATTATCCACTCAAAATATTAGATCACTATATAGAAACTCAAAACATGCTCCCTAGGATCCAAAGAAACAAAAGCTTATAAGAATAAAGCCTTTGGGATCAAAATCCAAAAATTTCTCTTCCAAAAATTGAAGAAAATCAAGAGAAAGAGAAGAGGATTGAAGTAGGGAGTTTACCTATCGTGTAGCCGAGCTTGCAACGGTCGCAAAGACTCCTAGATCCAAGCCTAACTCCCTCCCTTTCTCTTCTCTTCTTCTCTCTCTCTCTCTCCCGTTTGTGCGTTTCTTTCCTTTTTCATTTTCTCTGCGTTTCTGCATCAGTTTTGGCCTTTAAATTGCTGGTCAAAAAGTTTGGGGAAAATTACAAGAAAGGGCCCAACATTTTTTTATTATTGCACAAAAGCCCGGGTCAACTTTGGTAATTTTTTCCATAGTTAAAAATCAAATAAAACCAAACTTTTGCTTAGTAAAATTCAAACTCTGGGCCTCTATTAAATTATTCTAAATTTTAATTTAATTATAGATATTTTATTTTATTTTTATTTTTTTTTAATAAATTTGAGTCTTAAAATTTTTAGGATGTTACATTACACATCTCATATCCTTAAGTACTTGGGAAGAATAGAGCAAGCCATACAATAATTTGAATCATATGAAAAACCTAGTAAAAGAGAAGTTTTCCTTTTGACAATTGAAATGATGACAGCAACTGGAACTTGAACATGACCAACACTACTGTAATATGAAGATTTGGGAGATGAATTTAATGATGAGATTAGCTTAAAGACAAAATTAGGTATAATGGAGTGATTCTCTTGTGCATTCTCACTTACTTATCCTTGCCTAAGCACTGACTTCTCTTGTGTTTGTGGTTTGAGTAAGCACATGATGGGTAAGTCAACTATGTGGAATGCATGAAGAAATGAGACAAAGTAGCGTTAGATCTTGCGTGGGAAAAAATGAAGGGAATAATATTAGGTATGAAAAAAAATAGGAGATATATGAAATTATAGAGGGAATATATTTTTTTTAGAAAATATTTTTTATATAAGAGAACTTATAAAGCAAAAACAATTTTTTTAAATATATAGGAGATCATAATTTTTTAAAAACAATTATATAGAAGGCATTCTAAATTTTTAGAAAATATTTTTTATATATATTAAGATAGTACAATATGATAATTTGGTAAAATAGATACATTTTAAAAAAGTAAATACAAAATTAGAACCCTTCCAATTATTATTACTTTTTAATTTTGCTATTAACTTATTAGAGGGGAATAATCATTTTTCGCTAATTAGAGAGGATCATATTTCCTCACTAATTTCATCATTATCTAAACATTTAGAGATATCTATAATTTTCTTCGTTAATTAGATACATTAGAGAGGAAAATGTTGTTCCTCGCTAAATAATTTCTTGAAGACAAAATTAAATTTTCTCAAAATTTTTTTTGCTAATATAATTATTTAGAGAGGAATACATAAGTCCTCACTAATCTAACTTTTTCTAGGAGTTTTTTTGAGCCAATGTCACCCTGATATTTTTTTCATTTGGTAGAATTTTGTGCTGCTATTAAGGTTTGACTGTGTTGACTGTTAACTCAATAAATTTGACTATTATCTACTTGCTTGGCTTGCCTTGAGGAAGCCACCAAGCATATATTCTTTGAAGTTATCTACCATGGCCATTTTAGAAATTGAGAAAAAAAAACCCATCATGTCTTCCTCTTCTTGGATTTCTTTTCGTCCCTACTTTATTCTCCATGAAAGCCAGATTTAAACTGGTGTACTCAAATGAGACTTAGCATTAATTTCAACAAGAACTAAACCACTCAACCATCAAGGTAGATGCAAAAGAGGTTGAACCCACAAACTCACAGTGAGGGAGACAATGGGAAGACACTGGTGGGGTTTTAAAGATAAAGAAGAACAAGGTGAGGTGGGGATTCAACATGATTTTGACATTGTGGGAGGGGTTTTGATTTTGAAGAGGAACAATGAAAGGGTGTGTGTGTGTGCACGCGCGCAACACAATTTCGAAGGTGGGGTTTCAAAGAGGAAGAAGTCAGGTCTAGGTCAGATTATCAATTTGTGGGCCATTAGGATTCAAAATCAAAGAGCACTACTGCAAAAAGGCTATATATAATAGTTATTTTTTGCTATATGTGGTGGTTTTATTAACTGATATATATTCTAGTGCTATACATTCTCCGAGCCAATGTAAAGCAGTTTTAACCATTATATAATTGCCAACTATATATTTTAAATAACTGCTATATAGTTCGTAACTACGTAAAAATAACCATTATATAGTTGGGAACTATATAGCAATTATTTCTAAATAACCGATATATATGTATGAGCATTTTTTTTAAAAATAGGGGATGCACTTCTAGTAGACCCTCCATTATATTTTACTTTTTTATTTTTTTCCTCTTAAATCCTTGAGAGAAGTAGAGTGAAAAATACAAGGACTAGAGTAGTAGAGACAATACTCAAATTTGAAATAAAAAACAATTAATGCTAGGTTTTCCATTAAATAATTCAAATGAAAAAAATAAAAAACCAACACTAGAGACATGAAAAATCAAAGAAGCATCCTCATAAAAAAAGACAAACTCAAACCGGTACGACACATATGTAAAAAACCATAGATCTAAAATCAAAAAATACAAATCATAGTTATAAATTTGAAATACTAGCCTTCCATAATTTAACAATATAACTAAGGACGATGATGAGATAGAGTTGATGGAGAGTGACGTCAGCGAGATTGTGTATCCCACAAACTAAACAATGGCACACAGTGCTATGAGTGCACATAAAATGGAAGAGAAGGGATGCACATCGCACTAGAGACCATGGCCGGAGTTGATCATGTGAGTGTTGAAGACAAAAATTCAAAAGTTTAGAATGAGAAAGATGCTTGAATAACAGAGAGAGTTGAGTGTGGAGTGGAGAGGAATGGAGGGAAGGGGTCGAGTGTCCTGAAGTTGAAGTGTGATGGATGGATTTGAATGTATGAAATGACAATGAGAAAGAAAAAGAATATGCATGCCATGGGATTAAAAAGAATTAATGGTTTAGAAATAATGACATCATTAATTCATATGTTATATAAAACATGTGTGTTTTAAAAGTTTTTGGATTAAAAAATCTATATAGTAATTTTTTTTAAATAACCACTATATAGTCTTTAGGAAAAAAATTCAAAAAAAAATAATAAAGAGAGACTACATAGAAGTTCTTTGAAATAACTACTATATAGTTTTAAAATTATATAATAGTTATATAAAAAGAACTATTAGATAGTCTCTAAGAAAAAAATAAAAAAAAAAAACAGAGACTATATAACATATTTTGAATAAGCACTGTATAATTCTTTTTTCCTGAATTTCACTTCAACTATAAAGTGGTTTTTTCAATAAATATTATATAGAAGGCACTATATATAGTCTTTTTTTAGTAGTGAGGAAGGGTGAGAGGAATATGCATATGAAGTTTCATTCTTATTTTTCCTTGACCCATTTTTGCCTACTTGTATTCTCAATTGGACTTATAGGTTGTGTTCTAGATGTCGGTTTTGTGTGGCTTGTTTCTTGTTCGATTTGAATTCATATTTTTCCTTACTCTAAAGTGAAACTTGATTTGCATTCTGATTTTTTCTTATTCAATGGCCTTTTCATTTCTAGGTCAATTTGCGTTCTTATTTGCAAGATTGTTCTCTGAATAATGACATAATATTTTCAAGTTCCATGGCATGAAGATTTATTGTTTGCTACAACAGCAATTGAAGGTTGCCAGGTTTTGCTTGCTTTGCTGGGTTTTCGTTTCTAGGAATGAAGGTTGCGATGAAGAAGAAAAAGGAGGTGGAGGAGGACAAGGATGCGATGAAGAAGGTTGTGTGGATCTGTTTCTTTGTTTTTTTTTTTTTTAAAAAAACGTCACATGGCCGCCAACACTACATATAATAGTCAGATGACAGGTGAAATTGTATCAAATTGAAAAATATTGGGATAACATTCTATCCAAAAAACTTAAGGATAAAAAGTACACTTGCGTGAAAACTTCAAGGAAAATTTATACCTCAATCCATAAACAATTTATAGATATTGCAGGGTATATATTATATCCCAAATTATAACGAGTTCGCTAAATTGTTTGATAGATTAATGATGCAATTAATGATGTTTCGGAACTTCTAAGCATTATTAAAAGGTGCACATGAGAATGTGGAGTTCGCTGAATTTCGGATCCTGCGGGCGCAAAAGGTGCCCAGGGCACACTCACCCACACGGATTTCAACTTCCACATAACGACAATCCTAGCAAAAGCATCAAATTCAACAGCTCTGTGCCACGTATTCGCACATGATTGGTCGGAACCTTGTAGTGAAGCATAAGCAATTGCCTACTTAATCCTTCCGTTGCTTTCCATCTCATTCCCGTCTGTTTCATTACTTTCTCTGCTTTCTTCAATTCCATCGCTGTTATTATTACTTTCAATTTCTTCTTTTATCATTTTCATCTCTCAGATCTGTGCTCGATCTATCTCTTCATCATTCAGCCATGGCTGAAAAGGTACACTTCCTTTTGATCTCCTTTTCTAAATCCCTCGTTATGATACCTTCCGTTTAATCATCCATGTGAATCATGTCGGTTAGATAGATCCTGATTCTGTTCCTCCCTTTTGGTAATTATATGTTTAGGAGACAAAAATGAGGCTCAAGGTTGATCTCCAGTGTGAGAAATGCTACAAGAAGGTCAAGAAGGTTCTGTGTAAATTCCCTCGTAAGTTCTCTCCATGCTTCAAGCTCTCTCTCTCTTCTTTTTCTTCATTCACTTTTGAAATTTGGTGTGATATTGTGAGGAAATTCCCTTGCGCATTATTCTTCGGAATCACAAAATTGAGTTCATCTTGTGGATTTGTGTGGTTTTGGATTTTTGTGAACAATAGAAATTCGAGACCAGGAATTCGATGAGAAGCAGAACATTGTGACGATTAAAGTGGTGTGCTGTAACCCAGAGAGGATTAGGGATAAGCTTTGCTGTAAAGGATGTGGTGCCATCAAGAGCATCAAAATTGTCGAACCGCCAAAGCCCAAACCGCCTGAGCCAGCGAAGCCGAAGCCGCCGGCCGAACCTTCGAAGCCCAAAGAACCCGAGAAACCCAAACTAGAGAAACCAAAGGAACCAGAAAAGCCTAAAGAGCCTGAAAAGCCCAAGCCGCCTCCTGAGAAGCCTAAAGAGCCCGAAAAGCCGAAGCCTTCACCTGAAAAGCCTAAAGAGCCTGAAAAGCCCAAGCCTCAACCCCCACCAACTGAACCAGAAAAACCACCAAAACCTCCGGAGCCGGCACCACCAAAACCTCCAGAGCCGGCACCACCACCAGCCCCAGCTCCGGGAATACCGCCGCCAGAACCAGTTCCCATTGGAGTGTGTTGTGTTCCATGCTATGAAGGAAGGCACGGTGGGCCATGCTATGGGGGTTACGGTGGGCCTCCACCATGCTATGAAGGGTATTATTATGGCGGGAGGCCTGTTTATGATAGCTATGGTGGAGGACGACCTTGCTACGTGAGCCCTTGTGCCCAGTACTTCCACGAAGATAACGCAACAGGGTGCACAATAATGTGAGCTAAAGGCTCATTATTGATGTGGTCTTGTATGGAGAATAATAAATAATAATATATAGCTATATAGCGTTATATATAGAGAGAGAGAGATAAAGTGGATCGTCATGAGTCTAATCAAATTTATGTTCTTTGTTTTTGTCGTTGTAATAATAATAATAATAATAATAATAATAATAATAATGGGATTAATTTGAGTTGTTTATATATGTTGTACCTTTTGAATAAACAAAGCATTTTGAGGGGATTTCATTTGCATGTACATGCAGCTTGCAGAGGGAGATAAAAGATATGATGAATATAATTAATGATACATTGTCCATTTATATTCTTATACTCGATGGTTATATATATATATATATATTATAAAATAAAAATTGATGAACTGAAACATAAAGGGGAAAGAATTATCAACGAACACTTTATCTCAATTGAAAAGAATTATCACTATTGTTTGTGATAAGGTTTGATGTTGAGATTACTAAATGAAACAAAATTTGATTGTGATGCAAGTGCAGTGTTGGAGCCAGCACATGGGGGCTAAATGCACGCTCATATGTAGAAAATTACATATAGAGCATCTAAAAATTATAATCTTGTAGAATTTTGAATCATCTAAATTTGATAAAAAAATATTTAGGTTCAAAATTTTTTTAAATATATGATATTTTAACTCGTATTTCATAAATTCAAACTAAAAAATTTAAACTCTTTGAACATGTTATTAAAAAAAATGGATTAAGAGTTGTTTATTTTACAATAAAATCTAACCATGATAAATTAAGTCATTTTTTGTGTAATAGTCTTCTTCTTTTTTAAAAAAATAAATATGTTAATATTGTAAACCTTTTAAAATGCCCCATTTAATCATATTTATAGAACACTTTTTAAAAATAATTTTTAATCTAAAGTGTAATATATTTTATAATAATTAAATTATTTTTTTAATTTTATTTTTTAATTAATATGAAAGTATTTAATATAATTGTATTACTATTTTAAATTAAAAATAAAGATAAAAGTATATATTAGTTTTCATGATATTGAAAAAAAAAAAAATACTAACTTTTGAAGTTCACAGTAATGGAACCACTTTGGTGGAAAAAGAAAGAAATATGGTATCCTAGTGATGGTTATAGGTTTGTCCACGTTATATTTATATTTTTTGATTTTGGAAAAGTAATGAACTTTCTAAAAGCATTAATTCAAGATTCATCATCGCGAAGGATGTGCTTTTTTTTTTCTCTTTTAATATCAGAGGAGGATGTACTTTTTCATTAATAAATTCAATATGATCATCTCATAAAGAAAAAAAAAAGTCAATATGATCATCAATAAAGAAAAACCTAATCATAGTCTTCCATCTTTTCGTGGTTTCTTTTTAGTAATTTCGTTGAAAGTTTGATACTCTACATTAACTCCGTTGTCATCTAAATTTCTCTGGAAACTACGAACCCGCACCAAAATGCGTGCCAAACTGACATAGATAACTATTACATAAGTAGGTATTGGGCTAAACAGTAATTTAGCTCTTAATATGTATACATAGATACTTTCACCGTTTAAAAATATAAAAAAATTTTAATTAAATTTCATCTACAATAAAATAATTATTTATTTTTAAATTAATTTATTTTTTTATATTTACTTTTAGTAAGCACCATATGATAAATATAGAGTCATTTATTAATAAGAGTATTTAAAAAAATACAATAATTATATCTCAAAAGACTAAAAATACCTTATGTATATGAACATTTAATTCCTTAAAAAATACCTTATATTTTTAAATGAAGAGAGTAGGCATCAGAGCATATGCATGAACCTTAATCTAATTTTTAATGTAATATTTTTCTTTAATTTTTAAAAATAATGTAGTGTCATGTTTACTTTTAACAAAAAATAATTTTAATGATTAGTCAATTATAAAATTATAGATAAAGAAAAAAAAAGTCATTAAAAAAGGGACACACAAAAAACGGTTAATGACTAAAAAAAATCTCTTGGTAATTTTATGTAATGTTTTGATCAACTAATAGTTAAAATTAGTATTTATTAATGGTAGAAGTAATACTATAATATTTTAAAATGTTGAAAAGAATATTGTAACAAAACAAGTTGAGAGTCTCAGATATTTTTAGACTTATAGTTTAGAGATAAATTTAGGAAAAATGATAGAAAAATTTATTTAAATTATGTAAATGATAGATTCGTTCCATGAAATGACATAATTCCTCTAGAATCTCAAGGGATGTTTTTGTCATTAGGGAATTATAAGAAATGACACTTTTACCCTTTATTCATATTCAAAAAATTCACAACTTTCTATTCATAACTTTTGTTTATATATTAACAATTTTTGTTTTTAAGTTCGTAATAATTTAATAGTTATTTGCAAGTCCTAATCTACAAGTCTTGATATACATCAGGTGTTAAAAATTTACAACTTCTTATTCACAACTTTTGTTCCGATATTAACAATTTTTATTTTTAAATTCGCAACAATTCAATAGTCATTCGCAACTCTGCATCTGCAGGTCCTGACATACAACAGGTGTTAAAAATTCATAACTTTTCATTTGTAACTTTTGTCCGTGTTTGGACTAAAATATGAAACGTCGCTCAAATATATCACAGGGCTAGTTGAGCTAGGTAACTGAAGAGTTAGGTCTAAAATAAATAAAAGGGCCAACCCCAAAGCTCAATAAAAGCCACGAAAAAATAAATATGCCGAGATCTCACTAGTTACAAACATTGGACCGTTGGTACATGAAGACACAACCCCAAGTAATTCCAGAATCCACAAATATTGTGCTCAAGTATCTCGGTGAAACGGGTTGACTATCAAAAATGAAAAATACGAAATAAAGACCGTGCCATGAGTTTCGTGAGATCCTTGATTCTTCAGCAAAATGTTCTAGGTTTTAAGGGAGAGGCTACCACCACTCTGAAACTATAAATAGAAGACAAAGACATAGAAGAAAGGCAGTTAACACTTAATCAAAGAGTCACATTTTTATACCTTTAGCCTTTAATTTTATTAGTTAGTTTCACTTTCAAATCTAGACTTGTAACATTTTGCATTTCAATAAAAGTCAAACACTTTTTCTACCAAAGCCTTGTGTATCTTTTACATCCGAGTGAACTGTGGTAAGGAAACTCGAAACCCTTTTGTTATTAATTGAGATTCAGCGTCTCTAGCACACCTAATATTTGTCGTTCACTACAAACAATTCCTATATTAACAATTTTTATTTCTAAATTCGTAATAATTTAATAGTTATTTACAATTCCATATATGTAAGTCTAATATGCATCAGGTGTTAAAAATTTGTAACTTTTCATTCACAATTTTTGTTCATATATTAATAACTTTTATTTTTAAATTTGCAACAATTCAATAGTTATTTGCAACTGCAGAGACTTTTGTTTTATTTGAGGGTAATTTGGTCATTTTATCTAGTTTTTTAATGACAAAAAATTCCATGAGACCCCATAGGAGTTATGCCATTTTGTAAGACCAATTTGTCATTGTATAATTTAAATGAATTTTTCTATCATTTTTTCATAAATTTATTATTTAACTCTTAAGTATATTAACAACAATGGTTGATGACTTTTAGTGAAAGCTCAAAATAATTAGGTCATTTAATTAATTAAATATCTGTGCAAATAAATATTAATATAATCTATAAATATATCAATTATAAAACCTATAGAAAAATCACATTATTCCAAAACATTGTGTACGGTAAAACTTATCTTTATATTTCATATAACTGTTATTAGTATAAAAATAACTTTTTACAGTGGTTAAAAATGACTTTTTATAACGGTTAAAGAGGCGATGTTGTTTCAGGGATGTAGAAAGTCCATCTTTTTACATTGGTTATAAACCCGATGTAAAAATTAAATTTTTTACATCGGTTATAAAGTCGGTGTTGAAAATTATATACAAAAAAATAAAAAAAATTTACTTTAACTTTTAACACCGGTTGGGCTCTCAACCAACTAGTGTAAAAAATACACTTTGTACACCGGTTATTACCATAATCGCTGTAAAAAATATTATATTCTACAACAGTTATGGTAATAACCGGTGTAAAAAGTATTTTATTTTATTTTATACTATATTCATTTTATCAATTTTACCTATTTTTATGCATAAAAATTGTCAAATCAGACAACTCAATTAATTTATAATTGTTTATCAAGTATTTATCAACTATACAAAGCTATTTAACTATTAAAAAAACTAATAATTGTCTAAATTGTCAAAATTACCATTCCTATGCATAAAAATTGCTAAATCAACAGCTCAATTCATTTAAAATTGTTTATCAAGTATTTATCAACTATACAAAACTATTTAACTATTAGAAAAACTACTAATTATCTAAATTGTGTTAACTATCAAAATTAAAACATGTCTAAAAGTAACAAAAAATCTCACAAGTTCTCCACAAAATAGGTTGCCCAACGTATATAGATGTCTTTAATTTTAGTTTCAGAAAATGCATCCGAATTGTCGAACATCTAAAATTTGATTCATAAAATAGACATATTAATTAATATCAAATAACATAATAAAAGAAAACTTTTAAAAATATATTTACCTCTTTTATAAATTCGATCATGCGTAATGTGATAATATTGAGCATGTGTCTCATGACATATAGTCCGCACAAGTTTATCCTCACCGATTGTCTATGACTCTATATAAGAACAAATTATAAAAAATTAGTAAGAAATCTTAATAATTAAACATATTAATAAAGTATAGCATCATCTTTGGCTTAATCCATGTAAGATCCTTGAGCTCATGTCCATGCTTTTGTAAAACTACATTTTGATATGTTCTCATTGCCCTATGATCAAGATTACCAAGTTAGTAAAAATATTTAAAAAAATTAAATTAAATAGTTTAGTAAAAGTATTCTTACAAATCTATCGTTCTCTTCATTTCTTTCCCAAGTTTGTAATGAGAAAGTATAAAAAGACGACAGTGTTGCTCTTTATTGAAAGAACAAATAACTGCCAATGGTCCCTGCTAAATATGATACAAGTTAAAGTAAATCCATATTGAAAAACTATTAATTATAAATTGATCCTTACGAGTGCACATATGGAGCCATAAAAACATCTTTTTTGACTTCACATATTCTCTATTGGAGGTACGCGGCC